CATCTGACAACAAGACCAAGTTGCGAAGACGAGGCCAATCCACTTCAGTAAATATAAGGTGTAACGAAGTAAACAAAAAATAATATTCATCTTCAGATGTGCAATTAAGTAGTGAAACAAACACCTTTATTATGCACTGTGATAGTCGCAGAAATTTCTATACATTCCCAATGAGTTAAGTTTACGGCCCGACGCTAGAAATTATCCTGAATTACTATGGTAGAGTATTTTGAACAAGGTGTGCTCCTCGAGATGTCTTTGGAAAAAGAACTAAGTTGCGAAAGTCAGGTTAAATTAATCATATATCGCGAAACGAGGTTGCGATAAGATTAGAGGACATAACATAATGACCTTCCTGTCTTTGGTGAGACTCGGTGCTTGCCACTAATCGTGTGCAATAAAAAAAAGGAAAAGCAACGCCGCTTGCTTTCAGTAAGAAGATTAATCTACTATTCCGATAATGTCCATAAAATGGTTATCACTTGGGGTAACCGTGAATAAAGGAAATTGTGTGATGCATCAAAAGCAGCATTTATTCGTGGCTTCACTGAGCAAGCTCCCAAAGCGTAGATTCTTAAGTGGCGGGTGAAATCTAACCCGAGGCCAAAGATTTCCTTACCACTGTTTGGGATGTGTATCGAGTAAATCCGTGGTCAAGCCTTGATTTTATGAAGCACGTCTGTGATCAAACTTATCTATTAACCGCCAACCATCGATGGTATTCGCCGCATCTTTCTCTATTCTATCCCTAATGCCAAGTCTGTGGCTTTCTTATGCCTCTGTCTCCTGTGTGCCGACTACCAAATGTGATGCTTCTATATGATTACAATAGGCTCACTTCAGACGTCTCATCCTGGTTTCAGATTGTTCCTCTCTGGTGTCCTTGTGATTTCTTTTCAGAAAATTTAGGATATCACCTTGTAGGTATCTTCTATTTAATGATGTTGCTGATCTTGCTGTTCCCTGATCTCCTACTATTTTGCTTATGTAGTATGCAAAGTTTTCAATAATCTGATGTAGCGGAGACCATTGATAGCTGCCTATTAATAGATAAGTTTGATCATAGATGAGGTTCAAGAAGAAAAGGCTTGACCACGAGATTCACTCATTGCACATGCTAAACAGTGCTAAAGAAGCTTCAGCGTCAAGTAAGGGTTTCATGGCACTCGTTTCGGGTGAAAAACAGGGAGGAAGTCTCGTGGACTGCGTCAACATGAATATCATATAAAAGCTAAACGGCTGCAGTACGAGATTCATCCGTCTTCATTTGGTGAGATCGACCATCGAATCTCTTCTTCATGCACTTTCATCCGAAACGAAGGTCCACATATAAATGAAACTTATTGGGAAAATCGTCTTCAAAAATTCATATTGGGCAAAGTAGCCGAACCAAAATAGTGAAACATAACAATTTATTATAATTTACTTTGAATAAATAAACTAGGAGTATACAACGATAAGCAGTAAAAGAAAATTTTATCCAAATATGAGAATTTAAATGGATATACACGCAAAAGGTGTTTTTTTAAAGACTTAATCATTATTAATAAAGACGATTACCTGCAGTTTGTAGGAAAGTTCGGCTTGTGCCTTAGCTGTGTTCACCTCTTGATCAAAAGAGGCTTTTTTGAGCTGAAACTGACGGGTCGAGTTTGCGATTTCAGTGTCCGCTTGGAAACGTGTATCCAAACGAGTCTTCTCGCATTCAGCCTCCTGAACAAAGTAAAATGGTTATAAAAGCGTTAAATGTTATATTAAAATATTTCAGAGTCAAATGATTATAAATAAGTCATATTGCATTTCTAATGTAGAGCATAAGACTAGTTTAACTAGCCCACTCAGGTAGCCTAAATAGTTTAATTATACATACATACATACATACAAACA